CTTGGACCATCTGCTGTTGAAATGTTCCTATCACAAAAATCTCTTCCACATATGGAACTGACCCATCACCACTTGCTTGTCAGTGACTGATGTCCTCAAACAGGAACATGACCATTATTAAGACTGCTACAGAAAGTACTGTTAGATGCTTTGAGCATTACTTTGTCCCATGTCTACTAACTGTGAATCCATTTTTAAGCCAATATTGTAAGACCTTTGCTGACCGTTGTCAACAATGAATCACTTTCCTATCATAGAGGGAACCTTAAGAAATGCTTCAATCCAGCAGAAATATCTTGCTCATACTCATGCCCCAGATTCTCATTTCTTCTGTTATTGGTAGGGGATCATGCAGCTACCTAAATCAACTGACTCATGTCATTGCATCCACATACCTTAATTTCTCTCTTTGCCCCATTATGCATGTACTAAAAGTCAGCCAAAGAGTTCAAAGGCCTCATAGGATGTGTCATGCAGAGCAAGGCAGGGGCTAGGACTGAGGTCTGTCCCCAGCTTTGCCTATCAGTTCTCATAAAAAGCCCATGAGATTATTTGAGTAAATAAATCCATGTGCATGGAATTAGATATTTAAACACATTCATAGTGGGAACACGGTCAAATTTTCAGGAATGCTTGATTCCCAAAATTTCATTCATAGCAACAGAATCTGCTATTGTTCAGACCATTTTGAATTCAAAGCAATTTACACAGATAACAAAGACAAACAAGTGTTAGTATCTAAGTTTGAAAATATCCACCATGCACTGTTTTTCCCTCAATTGCTGGGAAAAAAAAAAAAAAAAAAGCGCATTATTTTCCCTTATTTTCCCTAGGCTTTTATAATGTGCTTATATATCCTGAAGTGACAGGTGATGTGTGAAAGCAACAAGTCTGTCTGTATAAAGACATAAATATTTGAATACAAGAAAAAAACCCTAGTGACTAAAAGAAAAAAGATGCATACTTGAAAAATGAATTTGGTAGCAGATACAGAATATCTCTAGCATTAGGACAGGTTTTTACCCAAGAAAAAAGCTAGTTCATTGATGTCTGTAGGTGGTAGAATCCCATCATGGCATGACTCCTGCTTCATGACTCCCACTAAAAATCAGGATTTGTGTATCAGGGAATTCTAGCCCTGCCCAGTGCCTGCATTGACTTACACAGGATTTAAGAGGAAAACAGTATCTATTTTGATTGAGCTTAACTTTGTTTCTGTTGCTATTTTCATAAAAGCCTGGGACATATGGGACAGCTTCAGAATTTAATGGCAATTTTTATCTTTCAGGCATCGGATCTCAAAATCAAAGTTTAGGTAAGTAAAACAGACTTTTGCTTTTCCTCCTTTCCACCAATTTTGTTTGGTGATTTACTCCTGCATCTGTGGGACACAGTGGTGATTCTAGGAGATACTGCTAAAGTTGTCTGATTTTAGTCAGTCTTCTATCAAAAATCAAGATCCTTCTTCTAAGCTTCATACTGAAGTAAGGCACAGGAACTACTGACAGTATTTCACTCACAAGTACCTATCTGATTGCTACCTACATATCTCAAGCTATAAAATATAAAAGCAGAAGAAAAAAATGGTTCAACCACATAATTATTCTACATCCATCAACATCAACCCTGTCAGCTCAAGGTTCTTTTTCCTACACTTTGTTGCACTACTCTGCTTTGCTTGATTTTGCTTGATCTTTCGACTCATGAGGTTTGCATCTTACTTGTGAAATGCTTCCTTTCACTGTGGGACATGTGGAGTTTTTCTGATGGTATTTGTTTTTCTGTTGACTTAAAGTTTTTGCAAATGGGAAGCAGTCCCCTTGTGGTAATTTGTGGGGTTTGATTGGAAAAGCTGACTGAATTAATAGAACTTGGTTGTTGAGGTTCCAGTCAATTTCTACCTCTCCAGTGGGAGCCCAGCTGCCTCCATAAGTCTGTTTTCAAAGTCAGTTTTATGGAAAACTAAATTAATTTTCAGAATAACTGGGAAAAGTGAGCAACTCTGTCCTTCCTAAATAATGAACAATAATGTGAATTCAGGAATGCACATATGCTTACATAGTGTCTATATGCTTCCCTGTGCAAAGACTTGCATACATGATCACATTCCTACAATCTGTGGATTTATTTGTATGTAGGTGAAGGCACAAAAGAACACTTGTATAATTACATTGTCATGGGCATGCACATTTGTGCACAAGTGCACACAAAAGTGTGTGGGATTGCTAATGATTGAACAACAACAGGGATGCCTAGATTTGTGTCCATTTTAAAAGCTGAGAAGATAATGTCTCAAATCCACTGCAAAACACACAACCCTTATTAAACATTTGTGCTAGCTAGACTGGGTGCCTTTATAAAGTGCATAGCTAAAAGAGCTGGGATTTGATTACCTGTTAAAATGTTGTTGCAAAAAATTTTTGGCCAGTGTGCCAAGTTGCCATTGCCTGGCTTTAGTTTATACAGATGCTGAACCCTGGCCTCAAGCATGACCATAGTTCATCACTGGAAATAATGCATAAGGGAAGACTGGCCAAGAAAATTTCTTTCTTCCTGTAATGTTGCCTATGTGTGTGCCTCTTTAGACACACACACACACATGCGCACACACACACACACACACATATATGTATATGATATCTATATAAAACTATTAGATTTATTATATAGTGGCAAGTGTTGCCTGGAAACTGGTTGCTATGCAAGTTAAATTCTGAAGAGTAGGAGGTGTGTAATTATCTTTAAATATCTTCTGTGGTTAGTAATTACCCTCAGAAATCAGTGACACAAGGGAATGTGTTCAAGGCAAGTTTTAAAAGGTCTGTTGATTAGCAAATGGTATCTGTAGTTCTAGGCATGAAGGTGAGATGTTGAGGTCCCCCAATTTTTTTTTCTATTCAGAGTTAGCCCTTTTATTTACCTTAATCCTGAACATTGCTGAATGTTGGAAACATTCCATGGCTTTTATTTGACCTCATCTCTCCAAGAACTTAATCCACAGGTCTATGGTATATAGTGATATAACAGGTGTCTTGTCATTGCGCTATTCTGAGCCTGGGCAAGGTCACATTGGAGGCCATAAGCATAAAAATACAAAAATAAGGATTATTTTTGTGGGAACTGGGCTAAAAAAACCTCTCAGGGTAGATGCAATGGATGTCTTAATCTGATTAAGACATTGCTTGAAGAGGTTTATTTACCCCTAAATGTTGCAAATTGGTTTAGGACTAACTTCATCCCAATAGCTGAAGAAAGTATGATCACAACTGTCGACTCAGATGAGAATCAGTGAATATCTCTCAGGGTGAACTTTAAAGTTATTCTCAACCACTCTTGAACAATAAATCAAGAGTAGAGTCTCTCTTGACAGAGATTTGCAATAGCCTGGGGATCCCTATCTGAAAAGAACTGTTCCTTTTCCAATTTTCCAAGTCGCTACTGGCGCCGATGGAATCGATTCTGCAGAAGAAAGTGCCGTGCTGCTGTCAAGTCCAATGTTTTCTACTGGTTGGTGATCTTCCTTGTGTTTCTCAACACCCTTACCATTGCCTCTGAACACTACAACCAGCCAGACTGGCTCACAGAGGTCCAAGGTGAGAAGAGGATGATTTGTGTTCTGTTTTTTATGGTCAGTGTTAAGAAAGGGGGCCGAGAAGGGAGCTGATGCAGAAAATGTAAAAGGAGCATATACAGGTGCAAATAGTCCTCTGTCTGTTGATGATCTTAAACAATACAACAAAATACCTGCCTACAGTGGAAGAAACTTAAGTTCCTTGTTTCCAGCCAATGCAGCGTTCCACTGGGTGTAAGTGAAATCGGGAGCTTATGCTAAATATATATTTGCAGCAATTGGATTTTCAGTTTATGGATAGCTACTGGGAACCACAGGTTCTCCACAGTTTTCCCTGAAACAGCATTTATGATAAATTCTAGTTACCAGGGAGGCGAGGAAAGAAGAGTGATTCGTAAAGTTCTTCTGCCTGCAGAACAGTTGAATCCTCACTGGAGGTGAGAGCAGCTGAAAAGCTTAATTAAGCAACAGTAGGTAGCACAGCAGCTCTTCTATTCCCACTCTCATCTGTAGATGACAAGTGTGATGGGAGGTTGTGCACAGGAAGGCATGTCCCTGGCATGGAGGTTGTGTGATTGTGTAATACATTGCAGCTGTATGTACAATACATAAGAATCTCTGTAAGCATCTTTGTAAAGCATTTCTCTGGATGAGCTGCCCACACTTTTGAAGTCCATTCTTTATGCCAAGCTTATATGAAGTTAACCTCCCAGACTGATCCCAGAAGGCTTACAGGGTTCATGGTTCGCTGTGATGAACTTTTGACTAAGTTTCATTAATCTGTTTCTGGTTTTGTTCTTTTCTTTCTTTTTGTTTTTGTTGTTTGTTTGTTTTTTTCATGAGACACTGCCAATAAGGTGCTGCTAGCTCTTTTCACGGCTGAGATGCTGCTGAAGATGTACAGTCTTGGTCTCCAGGCCTACTTTGTATCCCTCTTCAACCGCTTTGACTGTTTCATCGTGTGTGGAGGAATCCTGGAAACAATTCTGGTTGAGACTAAGATCATGTCACCACTGGGCATTTCTGTGTTGAGATGTGTTCGACTACTAAGAATATTTAAAATCACAAGGTACTTCTGTGCTTCTTTGGGAATGAAGGAGGGCTGCCGCTCAGTGCACAACATATATAGGCATAAGTCACTCATACCCCTCTTCTTTTCACTTTTTCTACCACTAACGGGTAGTGAGAGTGCTAGGTTGATAGTCCTCATCTTCTGAAGTCTGGGGCAGAAAGGGGAGGGCTGTACAGACTGGATATCCCTGATGTGAGTGGTCAGGATTGGTAAGGAATCTGGTGCAGGAGGCTGAAGACAATTGATGCAATGCAGATTTTTAAACTGAAATCTGGAAGGATAACGTGAGCTGAGCTGGGGCTCTTACGTTTCCATGCAAAAGACAAAGTGAAAACAAAACTACAGATAGCTTGTGACCTTTTCTATTGCTTTATGTTGACAGAAAGGGGCCTGAAAGACTACTTTGTGCCAAAACAACATTCAGCTAAGGAACCCATGCCAGCTCCAGTAGACTCAACAGTGTCTCTAATGGGAGATAGTGTCAACATTAGCAGCTATAGGCAAAGGATGTTGCCAGCCCTTCTCCTTCAAAGGAGTCCAGCATGTAGCATTAGCTTTATGAAGAAGCCACACTTTTCTAGACTCCAGTGTCCTCTCTTTTTCCTTTTCCTTCTTTCTCCTCTCCCTCTGCATAAAGGCACAGTGGTGTCTATAAAACAGTCTCTGCTTCCTGCAGTTGGGTACTTCCCCAGCTTGGTTTGGCAGGAGTTTTTCAGCTTGAGTGGAGGTTTTATGAGAGATCAGCTCTCAACTTACCCAGATGAGAGCTCTTGGAACAAATCTATCCAAGTGCTAACCCAAAGTAGCATGGGGCCTGCCTTTTCCTTGTAGGCATCAGTCGGCACCTTATAAAAAGCTGGACTGGGGTGGTGAAAAGGTACCTTTTCTGCAAGCTCCTCCATGAGATTGTCTCTATAATTGCTACATACTCCCCCAAAGGAAATTTCTGATGAATTTGAGACAAAAAAACACAGCACATGAGAAAAACACGACAAGAACTGGAAGACAGTCAAGATGGCAGAGCTGTGAGGCAGAAAAAATCAACAGGCTTGGACTTGTGCACCATACAAGATTTAACCTGAAAACTTCTGAGCCTCAACTCTCTTTCAGGGTGGATGGTTTTGAGGGTCAGATAGCAGAGTCAGAAAATCAGTTCACAGTCTTGAAGAGTGAGACCAAAGCAAGCATACAATTACTAAAAAAGAAGAAAATGCAGGTCTGCTTAGATGTGTGATCATAGAAGAGAGAAAACTGTTCCAGGAAATAAGAGTTTCCAGCAAGAAAGACATCTTTACCCTTTCAGAAATAGTGGGGATCTCTGGTCTGGTGACTGTTTTTCCTGGATGTCTGGGTCTGAAAGCTATCATCACTGAGTCCCAGGCCTGGTTTCTGAGGAAACCAGTAGCTGTTTGAGGCATTGGGTAACCAGATACAGCCAGGGCAATATACCAATAGCTATAAAAGCATGGCTTCAACATAGCATCCTGGAGAGGTCTTTGTTTTTCAAGACATTTCTCCACTCCTACATAAAATATATAATCTAGCTAAGAGAAAACTTTAATAGAAAGGCAATAAAAGAATATCATTAATACTTTTGGAAGCTTGAGCTATTGGAGTACTCAAATATTTGTAAAGCTTCTGGCAGAGATGTAATAGTGAAACCAACCAGCAGCAGGACAAGTTATATTTACCTTCATCCTGCAGCAAAACTAAAAGACAGTTTTGCATGGAAGCAAATGTTACCTGGAATAAGTCTCCTGCAACTTACACAGGGGTCTATGTGCAAAGCACAGAGCTGAGGAATAACTCATAATGAATAATGTATTAATCAGATTTAGCCTTCTTTCCTGTTCCTAAAATATTGGCAAGTAGGTTGCAGTAGTCTCAGATGTAAATGTGGTTTTTAATGATACATAATTTTCTTCATAATTTTTCCCCTCTGTGGGTGAAGTTCACCCTCATGCAGAAGGCCCTAACACAAGCCTCCAAAGCAGTATTTTAGGCCCACTCACGTCTTACTGAAGGAGAAAATATTCTGGCGTTAAAGCAAAACTTTTACGTCTGATGTTCTCCAGAAATATACAGTATTTTCTGTTATTCACTCAGCTCTAAATACAATGATGATTTATTGACCACATTATCAATAATGGTAGAAAACACCCCCAGAGTACAATGATAATACAGAAAGATACAATCCTGGAAAGCTGGGAAGGGGGAGGAGAGATGCAGGTGTAATATTTTATGTCAAATATGTATTAATGAGCAGTGACATTAGGACATACACTGGAGATGGAAATAGTGATAATCGAGGGGATTAAAAAGGCACAAAGCAGGAAAACTACTCTGATGAGAGTATATCAGTAGGTAGCTTAATCTTTATATTTTTGTATGGGTTTTCCATGGTAAACATGAAGCACAAACTAATTCAGGGTGCATCAAGATGATACACTTCTAGGAAAAACACAGATAAAGCTCCCTAACATGACAGAAACAAATAAATACACAATCAGATGAACAATGGATCATTTTAGAACCCACATTTAGAATTTCAAAAGCAAATACTTCTTCCAAAATTATAAATAGTCTTCAGAATTCTTTAGTTTTGTACATTAGATGAGCAGACAATATAATCTCTTTGGGTTATTCTCCCTGATTTTCACAGAGCTGTACAGAAAATCTTCCTTTCTTATAAGACAAATTATTTTCTCTTTATAAATAGCCCTTTACTCTTTTATAAATTCCTATATTTAGTGCTTTATACTTAAAAATAAACGGATTTGTTTGCAAAAGCATACTGAAATTTGGTACTTTATACCTATGTCTTGCTACTAGATATGTCACTGTTAACCAGAGAGGAGACATGGGGCACCTTTTTTTTTGTTCCTGCTTTCAAAGTGGTTTGATATTGGACATATAATGTGGGAAGTTTTCCTACAATGAAACTGCCAGCTGTTGCTACTGTTTCAAGCTCAGCATCTGTGCTTGCTAGTACAGTGGCATGTAATGGAGAAGAGAGGGAAGAGAATAAAATAATACATTAAGTTATAATCCAGTTCTACAACTGACTTTTGTGTGAGATGTTGAACAAATCATTTAACTTCTCTGCATCATCTCTGCATTTTGAAACAGGGATCATAATCACATCCTACACACTGGGGTTTTGCAATGCCTCATCACTGGCATCCTCAAGGGTCTGAGGTCTGCAAATGGGAGATGTCAAGAAGCACATTCATTTGTGTGTGTGTATATACATGCATACATACATATATAGTAATTCCCTAAGTCTGAGGAAGCAGCAGTGCTTCATCTCATACCTCCCACTCCAAAACCTCTGATTCTATCCAGCAGTTCCATGAGATTTATTGTAACTGGTTTTTCTTTGTAGTATATTAACCAAAGAGGGCGAAGTACTGTGGGACTTTTTCTTTGCTTGGGCTTCATCCATTCCTGTCTTAAAAGCCTTGTGTTTCATTGAGTAACCCCAGATGTCACTGAGGGGGTGTTCTTGTTATTTCTGCAGCCACCTAATGTGACAGATGGTAACCTCAGCTCAGGCGTCTAGGACAATAAGATAAGAAAATTGTGATTTTCACATCACAGTCAAGTCAAACCTCTCTTTTCCTTTTCCCTTTTTCTCTCTCTTTTTTTTTTTTTTTTTCTTTTTGCTGATAGGTTTGTTTATTTTTCTAAAGATGCTGTGTTTCTAGCTAGCACTCAGTGCACAGATAAAACAACACCCATCTTATCACCAGGTCATCTTAGTTAATTGCCTTAAGTTTGATAGTTACATAAGAAACTGAATCTCAGGTATTGAGCCATTTGTAAGAAATACAGAGCTGATAAAAGTCTGTGCAGTTGTGCTTTGAGATAGCAAGGCATTAAAGCTTTAAGTCACTGAGACTATTCAGATGGGTAATAACTCTACTGTATGTGTCTTAAGGGCACTGCGAGAAAGATCTAGAAAATGTGTCCTGACTGACATTGGAAGGCTTGCAGAGATATTCTGGACCACAGCAGTTTCTGGTTTAAGGACGCTGAAGTCAGTCAAGTTTCATCAGAAATTAATTTTCCTTCTTTCCATACCTCCCAAAGTGAAAGTGTGTGAGCTGTAAGGATAAATGCCAATAGAGCAGGCTGTTACATTGCACATTCAGTGTGGACATTTGGTGGCACTGAGCCCACAGCTTCCATGCCCTTACCTTTGCTCTGCAGTTTTTCATTGTTCATCTCTTTCACTGCAGTTAAACTTTAAAGCATTCCAGTTTTCTCTGAAGTGCTGAGCTGGAAGGAAAACATCACAGTTCTCTTTGAAGCTCAGCCCTTGGAGATAAACCAGTTGCTGAGCTTCAGAGAATATGGTGGTGTCCCTCTGCAGATCAGGTTGCTAACCTTCATAAAGTGATTGGACTGCTCAATCATTCCTATTTTCCATGGGATAAGGAAACTTTTCTTTTTATGCTGACATTTAAAAAACATTAATTTAACTGGGAATTTAAGAACCTTGTTCTCTAATGGCTACACTGCCTTCAGAACAGTATGTTGAAGGAGCAGGCTTCTTCAGAGGAGCAAGAGCACTAGACCAGTCTGTCATTCTTCTCAAGTGGAACTTCTGTCTCTGAGGAAAATAAGTCTAGAAATTCAAAATACTCTAAGGAAAGAAAATTTCACTGTTACAGGCTTTGGGAGAAAGAAGTGGAAGATTTTTACTACGTTGGGATCTCAAAGCATAGTGGTAGGCCACAAGAGATGATGCTAGAAGGAAAACTTAGAGATTGCAGGTAAACATTGTAGGCTTGCTGACCTGTGAAAGCTGTTGAAGCTTGCTAGTAATGTGTGTTCAAAATTAGGTGATTGGAAGATGACAGCTACGCTTCTGCCCTGTCTAAAAGCTCTATCAGTCTCAAACGCATCTAAAAGAGCAGTGGCCATGACCAACTAAACAGTAAATTAGGAGTGGTTGAGCAGTTACAAGACCAAAGTGAAAGCTGACTCATGGGCAGTGTGGTGGGTTCTTCAGAAAAACACATCCCTCTTCTAACACGTGGCTACCGTGCAAGCTGGCAAAGAATGCAAGCCAACTGACATGCTGCAGCAGAAAATGCTGCTCACATCTCTTTGAACCCTTAAGTGGGACCATGAGGTCAAGAAGATCCTTTCTCTGCATCATGCATTAGTCTGATCTGGGCACCAGCATGAATATGCTGGGAGAGCAAGTCTTAGCTATTCTGTCCCTTGAATGGTAGTTATTCTAAAAGCAGAAGTCTGAATTTTCTGTCATTTTGTGTGAGGTCACAAGCAATTTGTCCTTTTCTCAGTAACTGGTCTAAGTGGACTTCAGCTTAGTCATATCCAAGAAATTTATATCAGCCTCAGAAAACATAAGAAACATCTGTTGATTTTTGGTGATTTTCATCAGCTGGTGAGTGGGTGTACTGAGTATACTGGAAATATCTTACCCAGCTCTATTTGAAGCTAGCTCTAAGCCCTTCCAAAATGTTCTGCAGTCTGTCCAAGGAAGTGTAGTGGGTTTGATACCAAAAAGCACAGTGGTGGTGGTGTGTTCTTCCAAGAGCAAAGGAAATGCTGGACTTTACAAATGTAGTTTCTTATAGGACCCATATAAAACAATCATCAGTGGGTGTGTAGGACCTTTAACATCTGGCTCATTCCTCTCAGTCCCAGAAAGTGTGGCATGTCTATCTGTGAGTGAGCCCAAGCACATACTCACACACACCAGATTTTGGACAAGTTTGTATTTGCATCCAAACTCTTTCTCCATCTGCTCTTGTTAGTACTTACAGGCCATTCTCTGGAGTGAGGGATTCTGGCTGCCATAACATCTGTGAGTGTTGTAATGAGGTTGGTTAGAATGTAACTCACTGAAGCAGCAAGAACTAGTCACTGTATATTGATAAAAGATTCGCAGAGCCTTAGATGGAGAGTGCTGCAATAATCTTCTGGGTGTGCATAGGGGGTGGGGGATGGAGGGAATTGTGTATGTACACGTGTGGTAGTAAAATCACTCATTAGCTGCAGTAGGTCTCATTATCTTAGGGAAGCACATTGATGATTCACTGCTTAACAGGGTGTTTGGAAATGCCTGCTTATATAAAGAAGACAGACTGAACCAATATCCTGTGCAGTCCATGAGTACCTGTCTTGGTTTGAAGTAATTTTAACTGTCTCTATTTTCTGTTCCAGATACTGGAATTCCCTGAGTAACCTTGTGGCTTCACTGCTGAATTCAGTCCGCTCCATTGCCTCCTTGTTGCTGCTTCTCTTCCTCTTTATTATCATCTTCTCACTCCTGGGGATGCAGCTCTTTGGGGGCAAATTTAACTTTGATGAGATGCAGACCAGGAGGAGTACATTTGACAACTTCCCCCAGTCCCTCCTCACTGTGTTTCAGGTAAGGGCAAGAGTGGTCCCAATGGGGCCAATACATTGTGTTTACATGGGTGAGACAGAGAGCAGGTTCTGCACCCTTCCCTGCAGCTGGGCAGTCCCTGAGGCTGGACATCAGCCTAAGAGCTCCAGGAGCAAGGTGCCATGCTGTGCTGCCAGCACAGGTGTATTCCCTCCCAAAGTGGCAAACCAAAGCCAAAGCCCCTGTATGTAGTAAGGCCACCAGGTCTCAGCAGGTTAGGACAAGAGAATGGCCATTGTCATCTCCCAGGGCAGCACCTGCATGCCAAAGCCCAAGCCTGCAGCTGTCCTCCCGCCCCTCACAGTACTGGGGAACAAATACCTGCTCACAGCACCAGAGAAGTAATCAAATGGCCTTTAAGCTGGCTGCAGTTTTGGGATTGGTCAGCCAAGGTGAAGGGAAGTGGCAGAGAAGGCTGTGCTGAGGCCTGTCTTCAGTACTAGGGGTTGTGCAGCCTGTCTGAAACAGCAGGCACATGGAGGGAAATGCCTGCGAGAGGTGGGGACAGTTGAACAGAATTGTCTGGGACAGCCATTTGGCTTCAGCCATCCTCTTCAAGTGGACACTTCATTATTATTTTCACACTTTGAGCGCAGTCCCTCTTTGCATTCTCTCTGTCTGGGGGAAGGAGGGCGTTACTTATTTTCTAGATGGACACAGCCAGAGTGTCCAGCCATCCTGGGGGAGGGGTTGTTCTCTAGGATAGGAGAGATCTTTGTTATGTTAATGGGGTTTTCAAATTCTCTGTGTGGTCTAACACTGTATCCCTTATTGGTGGGAATGTGTCATTTAGATCCTGACTGGGGAGGACTGGAATTCGGTGATGTATGATGGGATCATGGCTTATGGCGGCCCCTCTTTTCCAGGAATGTTGGTCTGTATTTACTTCATCATCCTCTTCATTTGTGGAAACTGTATCCTTTCATGCTAGTCTTTCTCCAAGTGGGGCTGAATCTAAAGTTACCCTTTACTGCTTTGTTATGTCAGAAAATAATGAATTTCATACCTAACATTTTTACCTTTTCCCTAGGTCTGAATTTTGGCTTTGCACTGACAAAAGTTAAACAAGTTTGTTTAATTTTAGCTAGTACTAAGTCTTCAGGCACATAAACAGTTGTACGAGCCAGGTACGTGCCAGCTCTGTATGCTAGCTTTTATTGAGTATCTGTACATGTTTAGTGTTTTTATTTTTCATTCCTCTTAATTCTCTCATATGTTTTCTTTCCTGTCTTCTCCAGAAACTAATGTCTCTATGTGCCTACTGTACTTACTGCATATTTTTGTTTTAATTGCCTTTTCAGTACTATATTCCGTGTGCCTTCATCCAAGTCTTATGTGGAATAAAAATATGTATAATCTGCAATATGCTATATACAAATGCTGTAATAAGGAGTAACATATGTTTGACATAATTGATATATGTGAGATCATATATTAATTCATGTATAAACTAACAGGAATTGTGTTTCATTTCAGTTACTGCAATCTGTGTGTTCTTTAAACAGAAAACCCTGTGCTCAGTTATCTTCCAGTCTGTGCTGGTGTTAGTAACTTCAGCTCTCTCTGGCTTCAAGGTGAAGTGAGGGCACTGTGCATATCCCAGGAGGTACAAGGCATATTGCATTGCTAGGCTGTGAGTGTCTTTCACAGGAATTTGCATATAACATAGATCTGTGGTTCTGTTCTGTATCTCAGTTTGCTCCAAATTTGTTCATGTTTAGTTTCTGCTTCCCTGAATGGGAATGAATGGCCCTCCTGTGTCAGAGGTGACATTTCTTTTTATACTGACTCTTCCATAAAGCTGCCCTGTAGTCTCAGCCCAGCTCTTCTGGCCTTTCCTCATAATTCAGATCTCTCAAACCCTGTTATCTGACATTTTGGTTGACCTGCATGCCCTCTCTTCAAAGTGAAATGGTGCAATTCCACTTATCTGAAGGTCGAGGAAGGCAGTCTGCCTGACAGCTTAAAAAAACCCTACAATTTGGATCTCCTTGTGAACTGCAGAGGAAAATGTGAGCCAGCTCTACATGTTGGCTGACTTTGGAGCCATTAGACCTTGGAGCAGAAACAGGGGAGTGGCTTTATTTCCAGACTAAGCCTTGAACTGGGGTTTACTTAAAAGTTATGATGGTGTAATAAGACCCACTGTCACAAAATTTATAGAAGAATCTTAGAATCATAGGGGCTGGAAGGGATCTCTGAAGATCATCAAGTCCAACTCCCCTGCTGCAGCAGGAACACCTAGGGCAGGTCACAGAGGAACACATCCAGATGGGTCTTGAAGTCTCCAGAGAAGGAGACTCCAAAATATCCTTGGGCAGCCTGATCCAGTGCTCTGTCAGAAGCTGATGTTCAGATTTGTAACATAAGATCTGAATACTGACCAGCAAGACAAGTAAACAGTTGTAACTCCTTTCCCATCGGATACTATGTGGACATGACAGGCTGTGCATGGACTCTCTGCTAGGAGATGGCAGAGTTGTCAGCTCAACTCTTCAATGCCCAGGGTAAATGAATGGGTTTTGGTTGTCTCAGAAATACTAATGAGGGGGCTGTGCTCGCTGTCGATAAAATCCACTCATGTCTGAGAGAATTCCTACAGTGACGTTGCTCAACTCAATACTTAGGTGAAAACAGAAAAGTCCACGTGCTTTACGATTTGAGGGTCTCTAATAGGAGTGCTTTAATAAAAAGCATTCAGCATTCCCTTTATCTTCAGTGAGATTTGTTGCATGAAGCAAGACCCATTTGGGAAATCAGAAACTGAAATTAAGTCTGGAATTAGATGTTATATATCAGTTGTTTTGTTGTGAAATTTTGGAAACCCCGCAGAGTGTGTTAGCTGTTTGAATGGAAGATGTAGATTTATGCATACTGTATATGCACATTCTGAACACTTGTGTGAAAGAGAAGTTTGGAAAATACAAGAGATATGATGACAGGTTGCTAAAAAAATTTAATTTAGAAACCTTTGGCATAATGTTGTTCTGCAGTTTTCAAAGCCCATTTTCTTTAAGCAAACAAACAGATATTCTGCTGAATGTATTTTTGGCCATTGCTGTGGACAACCTTGCTGATGCTGAGAGTTTAACATCTGCACAGAAAGAAGAGGAAGAGGAAAAAGAAAGGAAAAAGCTAGCTAGGTAAAACCATTTGCATACACATACCTACACTCATATGCATGCCTTCCTAGGGGTATAATCACACACATAATGCACATATATGTGTGCAAGTAAGTATGTGTATATGTAACATATAGGTATAACTTTTCTGTGGGTGTATGTAGATTACATATATGTGATTAATATAATTATGTATGGAATTATGTAAATACAAACTTTTATGTAAAATATTTCAAACTAAAGGAAAAGAAGGTGTAATGAGCTGGGTGTCCCCACAGTTGCAATGATGCGAGCAGAGGAGAAGTCTGAGTGACTAATACATTTTCAGGGTATCAGCAGAGAATGAGTGTGAAACAATCCCATTTGAATCTCCCTGCTACCTTCTGATGGCTTGGAATCACAAGGCATATTTTCAGATTGTTGTTCCCCTGACACAAGATTCAGCAGCTTCCTTCTCTTTTGATGCCACATACTGTTCTTCTCTTGCCACTCTTTTAGTGTTTCTGCAGAGTCTTAGGAGGCACAAGCTGGATATAGGGCTTCTCTGTCATTCCAGCTGCCAACAGTGGAGAAGCCTTGCCTTAATGTTATTTCTGTTCACTATCTTCCAGACTGCTTGAAGGGGATCTCTTGTGCAGATCTTTCTGTTTCATCCTGCATGCCAGTTAGCAGGTCTCCCTGGCTCTGGGAGTGCAGTGAGGGGCAAAACTTTTGTAGGTAACCTAGTGGAAGGGCACAAGGCAATGCTTTGACAATGGTTCAACAATGGTTCATGCCTTTGCCATTGAGTTGACAAAGAAATCTCTACTGATGGACCTAGAACATGCATGTGCACAAACACACAGGCACATATATCCCCATATGTGCATGCACAATCACCCACTCACACACAAACACGTGTCATTGAGAAAGCTATAAAATAAAAGATGTTACATGGAATTAGACCAGAGTCTCTGCCTTTGCCTTCAGATGAGGACAAGGTGAAGCTGCTGGTATGTAAGCTGGACTCAGAATGGAGGTGCCAGCCAGCTGATCATTCTCATGGTGTGTGCTGTACTACATGAAGTTCCTGAAATGGAAACAGCTTTTCACCTCTTGTAACTCTTTGCTTTTTATCTTGTGAAATTATTAGGACTGCTAGTCCTGAAAAGAAACAGGAGATAGAAAAAACAGCTGTGGAGGAGGAGACAAAGGAGGAGAAAATTGAGCTGAAATCAATCACTGCTGATGGAGAATCCCCCCCTGCTACCAAGGTAAGGTCTGCTGCCAGCCAGCTCTGTCTTTGTAGTGATAGCATGAACAGCTCAGGTTTCTGAAAAACTGAAAACCCTCTGCCTTGTCTGATAAAGCTTTTGCCTCTTCTCCTTCCATTTCTGTCAGATCAACATGGATGATTATCAGCCCAATGAAAATGAAGAAAAGAGCCCATATCCCCCAACAGAAGGACCAGGTACTTATCTTCTTCCTTGTATTTTGCTGAATCCTTTATTTCAACAAGGAGAAGCTCTAGTTGCTAATGCGTATAAAGCCAGACTGTGGTGGCAGGTGTGCTGAATACGTGGTGTCTCTGCAATGGGACAGGATGATGCACTCACCTGTGTTTGCACAGGCATGAACTTGATTTTTGCAGTCCCTATACTGATTAGTTATATTTTATTTGAATAATATACCAAATGCTGTATATGAAAATATGCATATGTCTTTGTTTTCAGTCTATTTTCTCAGTAGTCAGTGATCAAGGGAGAGCCACAACATATACTCATGAGAGACAAAATGCTGAATGTCTTTTTGCACTTTGAAAATAAATTAAAGAAAGACAGTGTGACTTCTTAATAAAATACATAAGCTCTCACCCAGAATTGGGGGAAAAAAAATAAATCAAGCTAGAGCTTGATTAGGCTAGTTTCCAGGTCAGTTGGACCTAATTAATTTCATCCTCGGATGCTTAAAACATCAATTGAGGATATCTCAGAACTTTGAGCAGTTTTTCTTCAAGAGATCCTGAAAGCTAATGGGACGTGGGGTTGGAGCAGAAGAATTGTAGGCTAGTCAGTTCAACTTCCATTCTTGGAAAAGTGCTGGAACGAATGATAAAACAAACTATATGACTGTAAGATAAGGAGATGACTTGCAGCCAACATACACTTGCCAAGAACAAATCACTTCAAACCACCCTTATTTTCTTCTAAAAGGGGCTGACAAGACTTGTAGACAGAATAAAAGAAGTAGATGTCATTCTCTAGCTTTGCTGAGGCTTCTAACTCTCTCTTAAAACATTTTCATAAGCCGGCTAGAAAAACATGGTCTGGGTTATTGGGGGAGATATTGGTCAAAGCCTTTATGTGGAGAGTAGTGATGGCCCAGGTGAGGTCCCTGAGTGCAGCAGTGACTCAAGGGCCTATCCTGAGTTCAGTTCTGTTCATTGTAATGACCTGAATGATGGAAGATGAGATATGCATATTACATTTGCAGATAACATGAAGCTAGAAAGGATAGGAAATGTGCTGGAGGGCAGCATTAGAATTCAAAGAGCTCTTGAGGAACTGGATAAATGGTCTTAATAAAATTGACAGTGTCAGGCTCTACGTGTAGACAGGAATAAACAGGTCCCAGCTAGTTCAGTAGCAGTTCTTGAGAAAATAATATGAATCTTGTGATCACAAGCTCAACAGCTGCCAACATTTTGCTGTCTTTCAAAAGACAAGCAAGTAGTGAGATTTATCAACGGTGAAAACATGATCCTTTATTCCACTTATGTTTTGGGTTTTTTTTCTAACTGGCCATTGAAAGCTAACCAGAGCAAAGCAATTATTTTATTCTGTTCATCACTGATAAGATCTCAGCTGGGATAACCTGCCTTATTTCAGATGCACTGCTTAGGAAAAATGGGAATGAATTGGAAGGCACCTAGGAGAGCATGGTGACAATAGTGCTAGTAGGAAGCAAGGAGTAAGACTGGAAGAAATGTGGTCATTTGTGCTATGTAAGGCAGCAGAAATCTCTTCATATGCATAGCAAGCTGCTACAGGTAGGAGGGGAATTGTCTCCGTTATGAAGAAGAAACAGATTTAAGATTCACACAAGGGGAGAATTTTCCGTTGTTTAGACTAGAAAAGATTGTGAAGGTGTTTCTGGAAGCCCAGCATCACTGAATGTTCTTAAGAGCAGGTTAGAAACATATCTGGCAGAAAAGGCTTAGATATAGTAATTAGCTGGTTCTGGCTTTGCAGAGGCTTAAACCAGAGGGCCTTGTGTGATCCTTTCCTTCTCTGCCTTTCCATGTTCCTATGACTATGTAGCAGGCTGCAATAGTAATAAAACACATTCTTTTCTATTCCATAATTCCTAATAAATGTCTGATAAAATGTTGATGTGATCAAGTGAAAATGACACAGTTCATTTTAAATAGTTGGACAAGGGCTGAAGACAAGCAAAAATTAAAACTGTTCATGACTTTTGATTTTCAGTACAAAAAATCACCAGATTTGCTATACTTGTATTCATCCATATTTATAGCCCGTTTATCAGGAAGAGGGTGTGGTTCCAACACCGTACAATACTGTTTTAAGACTACCTGGGGCAGATCACTCTCGCTTTAATCTTCCCAGTACCTCTATAGGCACAGGCACTTCCGGGACATGCATCCCTGGATGCTTAGGGACTTGGGGGTCTCTTCAGCGAGAAGCACAAACTAAAACAGCTGTTTCACAGCTGGCTTGGATTTGCAGACTACTATATTGTTTTTCAAGTGAAGGTTCAGCCACCCATATAGCAAATTGAATTCTACTGGTAGAACAGTGTTTCAGTTACCTTCTGAGGACAGCTTAGATATAGTCCAGTGTGTGAACTATATGACAAAAAATACATCTACATTTTGTGTCATGGGCATTTTATCTGCAGCCATGCGTAGGATTAGAGTGCAGAAAATTAAGTAAAAACTTTTCATGCCTGCCTTGGAGTGCCAATCCCTGTTTTACATGCTTCTAAATGGAACCTGAAATTTGACTGGATAATCAGGTTTGATCAGGTTGCCTGTCACCTAAAATATGAGAAATGTGAAGGAACAGCGTCTTGGTTATTTGCCATGGTATAATGTAATTTCTAAACAAGCCTGTTCCCTGAATTGTTTATCAAGGCTTTGTGAACAGTGAAGTTAATTTTTCTCTCTCTAATCTTCTGAAAATCTTAGCTTTTTTTGCTGAAAATTGTCTCTAACCACTCACAAAATTGCCTGGCAGCTTCTTTCAAAGTTCATGGAAGCCAACCATAAGGCTCAGATGTAGTAAAGTTTTGTAAAGCCCTTGTTAGATCAGATTTACCATAGTCATCTATTCCATTTTGTTGTAAAAAGCTCAGAAATACAAAAGTCCTCTCCAGAGCTGATGTGGCATGTCACATCTGCATGGTGTAGTCAGTTCTGGGGAACAAGGCTGCAAGGCTATACTTGCAAGAATTTTCCGATGCCCATATGTATCCCTTTCCAGTTCTCTGTAGCTAGCTGACCAGTCCAGAATCCTGTTGCTCATCGGTGCAGCTGTGCTACAGCAGATGCTGTGCAACCATATACAGCCTGACTGGGAACACCTTTTCCTTGTCCATTTGCATGTGGATCCATTTCAGCTGTGCTTTGAATCAAGCACCCTGTGGTTTCTTAGATGCCATTAGCTGGTTCTGCCTATTTTCTGTTTGTGATTTAAGCTGTTGATGCCTGTGACCTTTCCATGGCTTTGTACTATTCCATCCTCTGAAAACATCCTTCACCCTAACCCCATGCTTAGAAACCATTTGAAATTGTCACTTCACTTGCTTTTCTTTATTCTTTCAACCTTCCTTGCTAAATCTCCTATTGGTTTCCACTGCCTCAACCAGTTTTCTCAGTAAACTCTTCTGACTCTATTTGTTGCACAGTGTTGCTTTCAGCCCCTAGAATAGACTATGTACTTGCGGCTAATTAGATCACCTATTCCCTATGTTGGAGAGAGAGACTCATTCTTCCAGAGATTTGTGTATACTAGGAGGATTACTATGATGTTATGTTTATTTTAGGAAGACAGGGAGCTAGTCTTGCGGTCTAGTACAGAAACAGACAAAGAATTCAGAATGTCAGATGAAGATAAAAGCTTGGAATGATTCATGGGAGGTTGAAGTAAAGCAATGTCCTTATGCAAGAGTTCTGGTTTTTGTAGAGAAAAAAAACAACTCTTCATCATTGAATTTCTCACTGATGCTGCATGATAGCCCATGTGTGCTTATGGCCTCACAACCAAAGGACATCAGCTTTCTAATGAAATGTAATTAAAGATGACAGTCCCAAATTAGAATTTCCTTGAACTTAAGGAGAGTTCAAACCTAGATCTGAACTTGCCAGCTCTGAGTCATGCCTCTTTATGATTTTTTGGCAAGCTTGACTAGAAGGGTCACTTCTTAAAAGCAAAGATACCTTAGGTATAGAAAACAGTCAAAGAACAAGTGTTGGATTGTAGTTGATGTGCTGCCCAGCCCACCTGTGAGAGCCACATTGACCTTTGCTTCTACGAATGCTGGCAACTGTGCAGCACAGTAGTTGATGTGCATGTGCCTTAGCTTAGGTACTGACCTGAGCTGAGGCTGTAATCATGGTATTCTTTGTGTATTTGGGGCTCAGTGTTTCCCTCGACCCTACTTTAAATAAAAAAATATTTAGAACATTATTCTTAATCTATGGCTGAGGAACTGAATATGTTTTCCAGTCTGAAGGTATGTGGTTGCCAGAATCATTACTATATATCTTGCTGTGTGGGAGACAGAGGGAAAAGAGGAGATGAGCAATGACCCTTATGAGTCTTCACTGGGTTGATCCTTCAACTAAGAGTCAGTTTTCCTGAGGCATTGTTCCATACCCCTTTAAAAGTTTTCTTAAGCATCGTCCCAAGTGAAAGAAAAAGAATAATCCAATAGTGAAGGCACAGAACAGGGACTCAGAATATTGGACTTTTATGTAAGAGTGTCAAATATCTCACATGATCATGGGCATCAGTATTCTGGACTGTTAAAAAATAAACAAATTTGCTTACCTTGCTTATTGTCAGCCAACTCTGAAACCTGTAGATAAAACGTGTGAGTGCAAAGTATTGTAATATATAAATATGAGCATTAACGTTAACACCATTTTTACACGTACTATACACAAAAGTAATTCTGAAGGAATGTTTCTTTAACTAATAAAGCCTGTAGAAAGAGTATTATAAAATATATTATAATATAAAAGTGAGCTGTAAAAAAAAATAAAATAGACCAGCTTAAAAAGTTCTTAAGTTAACTTAAAGGTTCTCTGTATATCAGCACAAACATTTTGCAAAAATCTATCAAGTGAATTTGACCTGCACTCTTGCTTCTGGGATTGTAAAGAATCCTATTTGCATGTAGTAACAGCAGGCATTGAATAAGCCACTTTTTTCTTGTCCCTGACACCTAGATTAGAATCTCTGTGGATTCATCTGTTCTTTCTGATGTGTCCATTACCAGAACTTTCTGACACTAGTCTAATTCCATGGACTCAAAATAAACTTTTTAACTAGTTTCCTCCATTGTATTGTCTGGAAGATTAATCAGTTGCATCCAACCTGTCAGGCTCCTTTCTTAAAATATTTTTTTTCCTGCCTTGCTGGTTTAATCAGAGGATTGGAATCTTCAAAACAGCAAAATTCTATCATGTCATTTGCAAAACAGCACCTGACTTCAGCAGGTAGAACAACTCCTCGAAGGTGGAAGACTCTCTTTCACACACCACTTTGCCATCTCTGCATTTTTTTCCTTGAGGGTGCTCACTGATCTGCACAGTGCCTGGAAATCTGCTCCATAGGCATCAAGTTCAAGAGTCTCAGCCTCATTCTCAGCCTTTTCAATCTTCCCCTCACTGAATTATGAAAGGGAGCAATTTCTGATTGGTGTAAATCAAAGTGCTCATAGTCCATACATACAGACACAACTCCAGATGTGGCAGTGGCTCTGTGGAGAGCCTTACAAAGAGGAGAAAAACAGATCTTGATAAACTGGAGGAATGGCCTGAAGAAAATAAGATGCAGTTCAATAAGGATGAGGTCAAAAGGTCACTTTTGGGAATAGGTGCCAGCACAAATGCAGAGGAGGGAGTGACAGGCTAGGGAGGTGTTCCATGGTAAATAATCTGTGCTTTCTGCAAATCAGAAATTAAAGGAAGTGCCTATGAAGGACATGTAAACAGAAAGATGGTATTATAAGATATAAGAAGTGATCCAGCACTCCTCTGCACCAGTAAAACCACAACTGTGTGTTAATCCTGCAGATAAACTGGAGGAAAATAGCAAGAATAATCAGAGACCTAGGGAACATGCCACCTCAGGAAAGACTTGTTTTGCTCTAGGAACCAGAAATCCTCATAGAGGCATAATAATGGTATTTCAGTATGTAAAAGCCTTCGGCAAGAGGAAGGACATTCTTTTTTTTCTATGTCCATAGAAAATAAGAAAATAGAAAATAGATTTAGGCCATAGCAAGAAAGATTCAAGTTAGTCATTTAAAGAAGCTTATTTTGGAGTGAAACAACTGAGAAGACTGTTCTGGGTATATCGTGGATTTGCCGGCATTAATGTGGGTTATATTTTGCATTTAAAAAAAAACGAAAATGCTTCTTGCAGCTGAGGAAGATGAGGAAGAACCCGAGATGCCTGTGGGCCCTCGGCCTCGCCCAATGTCTGAGCTGCACCTCAAGGAGAAGGCTGTGCCCATGCCTGATGCCAGTGCTTTTTTCATCTTCAGTCCTAACAACAGGTATTTAAGAGACTGCTTAGCTGGAAGAAGGAGGCAGAGAAGGTACCCCTTTCACACTGGGCCCCTTAGGTCACGTGGTGCAGAGTTCCCTTCCAGCAGTTCACACCAGAGACTTTCTTTGACCAGTCTCTCATTTAAAGGCACTGGCATGATATCCTTATGAAAGCATGACTATGGGGAGCCCTCTGGCAATATTCAATGGGGGTTCAGGGTTCCTGCAAGGCTGATTGAAGACACAAATAATGAAAACTTCAGAAATAAGGGACATGGAGGCAAATCATTAATTGGAATTCTCCAACATCGTCAGGTCCGAATTGCAAGCCAGCCATCATGCAGTCAGCCAGGTGTGAGATAGGAACTTCCTGTCCTAATGGCTGCTCAAAATCCACTCCCAGTAGGGAGTTTGTGTGTTTCAGCTCATTAGTAAGTGTCAAGAACAAGCATACAAGAAAATGGAGGAGGAGAATGAGAGTCTGGAGCTCTGAGGGGAGGCTGAGAAAAATAATTCTCTCACACTCTTT